GGCGGTGGAGATGGACGTGTCGGCCAAGCCCGACCTCTCGGCGGCCCTGCGGGACATCCGAGCTCAGTACGAGAAACTGGCGGCCCGCAACATGCAGAACGCCGAGGAATGGTTCCGGAGCCGCTTCACCGTGCTCACCGAGAGCGCTGCCAAAAACACCGACGCCGTCCGGGCCGCCAAAGACGAGGTATCCGAAAGCCGAAGGCTGCTCAAAGCCAAGACGCTGGAGATCGAGGCCACCCGAGGTATGAACGAGGCGCTGGAGAAGCAGCTGCAGGAGCTGGAGGAGAAGCAGAGCGCGGATATCTCTGCCCTGCAGGTGAGATTGGGGGGCGTGAGGGGTGTCCTGGACGGGAGGGCATCGCCTCCAGCCCCGGGGGGTATCCCGGAGGGAAGGGCATCGCTTCCAGCCCCGGGGGGTATCCCGGAGGGAAGGGCATCGCTTCCAGCTTTGGGGGGCTTTGCTTCCAGTCCCGGGGGGCATCCCGGAGGGGAGGGCATCTCTGCCAGCCCTGGGGGGCATCCTGGAGGGAAGGGCATCGCCTCCAGCCCGGGGATGCATCGCTTCCAGCTTCGGGGAGCTTTGCTTCCAGCCCTGGGGGGAATCCTGGACGGGAGGGCTTTGCTTCCAGCCCCGGGGGTCTTCCCAGAGGGAAGGGCATCGCTTCCAGCCCCGGGGGGGCATCCTGGAGGGGAGGGCTTTGCTTCCAGCCTGAGGGCATCACTTCCAGCTCCCAGGTACATTCTGCAGCAGTGCCACGTCTCCAAGCTCTTCAGGTATCCTAGAATCACAATGTAAATCGCCAGGGAGCTGTAAAGCACGAGGCAGGGTTCCTTTATATACCTGTAAAGCCTTGAGCTAAAGCTAAAAAGCACCAAGAGAGGGAGAAAGCAAAGGGATGCATACATTTCCTGCACATGTTAGTCCTTGGAGGGCAGAAAATGGAGGTCCTGGTGTTAAATAGGGATGGAAAAATAATAACCCTGTAGGTGCAGGGGTGGGAAAGCTCTGCCTGGGAATTGGGATTTGGTGAATGGTGCAGGTTTGGCTGCAGGGAGGAGTTGGGTCTGTTGGCTCTGCTAGAGCAAGGTGAAGCTAAGAGGGGCTTTCCCTCCAAGGCATGAGTGTTAGAATCAGGAGGCTGACACTGCCAATGGTGTTACTTCCAACAGGATACCATCAACAAGTTAGAGAATGAGCTGAGGACCACAAAGAGTGAAATGGCTCGGTACCTGAAGGAATACCAGGATCTGCTCAATGTGAAGATGGCCCTGGACATTGAAATTGCAGCCTATAGGTATGATGGGGGGGAATATTTACCTGAGTCAGAACTTGGAGCAGGTTCCCCTTTGTGTATTTTGGAGATCATTTATTTTATTTATCATCCTTCCAGCTGAAATGTTCATAGGGAGATGTCAGAGTTGAATCAGGTCTTCTCCATTGTCTGCCTATTGAAGAAGCAGTTGCTTCTGAGGTCAAATATTTGCTTTAAAGCCAAATATTCCGTGTGCAGCCAACTTGTGTGACTACTAATACATATATGCATCCAGAACTTGTAGCTCTGCAATTTGTCTCATTTCTCCATCTTTACAGGTAAAAATACTTGTTCTGTACTTGCATTGAAGAGATCTTGTATCAGTGGGACTTCCTAATACAAATGATTATGTTTTCCAAATGGTTAATCCCTTTTAAGAGTGGGCTTTGTTTCCAGCTCCCAGAAGCTATGTCCTGCAAAGCAAATATTTTCCAGCACAATTACTGCTAAAAGGATGGTCTGTCCCAGACACCGTTAGAAATTGCAGAGGCTGAGACAGTTTCTGTGAGTGCCACAAGGGGGAATATTGAGAAAGTGGCTATAAACCTTGTCTGGTAACTAAACGTCAGAGTCTCAGGTCTGCATTGCTCTCTGCAGCCCTACAGGCTAAAAAAATGCACCTCAGATTTCACCTGCTGCAGGAACCTCATCCCAAAGGGTTTTTTCCCCATTGTTTCTTCTCACAGGGAAAAGTATTAATTCACCAGTAATGTGCCCCTCAGAAGCTGAAATTGTTCCAAGAAGATAGGGTAGCATTTCCACATAAGTTACTCACTATGGGCTAGTTTTTGCACTCCTGAATATTCAGTCTCTGGGGCTTGTGTAGCTCAAGGCATCATTATCCTCGTGGTCCACAGCTGAAACTGCAGCAGCCTAACTGATTGATTTGTGTCCTGTTTTTTCTGCTAGGAAGCTGCTGGAGGGTGAAGAGACCCGACTCAGCTTCACCAGTGTGGGAAGCATCACCAGTGGCTACACCCAGACTGCCCCCAGTTTTGGCAGGTCTGCCTACACTGGGCTCCAGTCCAGCTCCTACCTGATGACAACCCGTTCCTTCCCCACCTACTACTCCAGTCATGTCCAGGAGGAGCAGATTGAAATAGAGGAAACCATTGAGTCTGCTAAAGTGGGAGAAGCCAAGGCAGCCCCTGCAGAAGAAGGTGAGGAGGAAGAGAAAGAGGAAGGTGAGGAAGAAGCAGGAGGTGAAGAGGCTGAAGAAGAGGAGGAAGGTACTTATTTCAGATCCCTCCCTTTCCTGCTTCACCCTGCTCATGTGGGGTAAAACCCAGAAATCCTGATGCTTAAGTCCAGTGATGAGACCTCTATCCTTGTCTGCTCTCATGAGCAAAGGATTGTGGTATTGAACCCCCAGCATTTAAGCAGGGAAGATAGAATATTGAGTGGAAGGTAAGGTAAATGTTCCAGATCAGGCAGATCATAGGTCTGATTCCACTCCCCTGGAAACCACTGGGTGTTTTTTCCATTCCAGTTTCCAAGCATGAGAAGGAGAATACTGGAACATGTTATGCTGTATTAACATGGCAGCAAACACTGCTTAGCTCTTGCAGACATTCTCAGAAAGAAGGAACAGAACATCCTGAGCTAAATATGGATTCTCAGAGGGCAGCCTGTGATAATGGGAACATCAGCAGGTGTCTGTAGATGTTATGGTGGGTTCAGTTTGTAGCAAACCTGTTGCCTGAGGTCTGGCAAGTTCTGTTGTTTAACCAAAGATTATGCCACTTCCTTGCTGCCCTGTAAGTCATTTGCCAAGCTTGTATTTTAAAGAAAATGTAAAAGAATGTTGGTTTTCCTGACCTCAGTTGCCTAGCTCTGAAGGATTTAACCTAAACATACCTGAAATGCATTGATTACCATTGAACTATTGGAATTTGTTAGTGCAAACATTAATTAGAATGAAATTATAGCTAAAAGCTAATTGGAGAGCAATGCCTTTTTGAACCCAGGTCTTTGGGTGAGGCTTAAAAGAACGAGTCCACACTCAATTACTATTTTTCAAGGCCATGATTTTGAAAAGATTTCAAAGTGTTTCACTCCCTTTCAAGTCTAGGATAAGTTGGTTGTGTAGTTTTCTTGGCCTCCCTTGGAAGTCCTGGCTAAATGTCCCTGCTTTCATGCAAGATCAGTTGCCAGTCCCATCTGGCTGCCCCCCAGGTGTGTGGGGTGAAGGGTGTTCTGGCTCCTCTGAAATTCCAGATGTGGAACAGCATGTAGATGGGAAATCTTTCTTCTTTTGCCATTCAAAGGTGCCAAGGAAGAATCTGAGGAAGCCAAAGAGGGTGAGGAAGAGGAAGGAGAAGAAGGGGAAGAAACAGCAGCTGAAGAAGGAGAGGAGTCTCAGGAAACTGCTGAGGAAACTGGTGAGGAAGAGAAGGAAGAGAAAGAACCAGCAGGAAAAGAAGAGAGTGAAGTGAAGAAGAAGGCTTGATGCTTAGGCAGGCAGGCTTTCTCACCAGAATAAATGATTGACTGAGCTAAAATTGCAGTCTCACATATTTATTAATTCAGTGACCACTGAGGTTTAAAGTTAATGATGTTTCTCTCTGTGCAGAGTATGAGTTTGCTTGCAGAGCACCCTCTGGCTTGTTCCCCGAGTGCCGCATGGTCTACACGTATGAATTCAGGGGTTGTGTCTGTCTTGGGTGGTTCAGAACCTTAACATTTAAAAAAAAGTCATGGGAATGAAAGTTCTCCTTAACTTGCATTTAAAAAATAATTATGGAAACCTTGGGTGGGTAAAATAATGGAGGCTTCAATAAGTGTGTGCAATAAGGCTAGTCAATAAAGTTACAGAAATGCTTACACGGATTCCTTGCCTGTGTCTTGTCACTAATGCACTTAAAAGGTTGATAAAGTGGGGTACCATGTTCCTCTTTCAAGCCTGTCTAACAGGATGTGGGATACTGGGTTCTGTCTGGATGCTTGGAGGACTAATGGGTGGACAGCATTTCTTAGGAGGCTGTGAAATTTCCTGTGGAAAGCTTAAAATGGTGACAGTACAGCAGTGTCTGCTCTCAGCTTGGTGGTGGGTCTCACTGGGCTCTTGGACACACAGGCTCCCTTTGGCCTCTTGGAAAAAAGGTTTTCAACCAGTCCAGAAGCCAAATGCAAATGTGGCTGTTTGAACAACTTCCTATCAACTTTTTTAATGTCTGACAGGTTCTGCTGCTTGGATGAGCTGCCTTTCCAGGGTCCTGTCTTCAGTCAGTCCACTGTGGACTGAAAGAAGCTCATTTTCTTTTGGAAATGTTAACCTTTTAAAGTGAGAGCTAAAGAAAGGTCTGAGCTGTGATCAGGCACCAAGTAGGAGCAGCTCAGCAGCCAAGCCTGGCAGTTGTACAAGCCACGTCCTGTGGGCTGAGCCTGTTCTCTATTAGCTCAGGTTGATGCATAAAATTAAACCCTGTGCTAAGAGCAAGTGCTGGATTAATGCTGCAAATCAAGCCATTTCAAATAGACCCATCTTAATACAGGCATTACATGGCTGCACTTAATCTTTTCACTGTCCCATTTAGCTAGATGGATTTTTGCAAAGGATTTTGGGGTGACTTAATTTTCTACACTGACTTCATGGCAGCAGTTGATTTTCACAGGCTCCTTGATCCTGTGTTGAGAGGGAAAGGAAGTGTGTTTTTATACTAATGTTAGGGGTGTTCCAAAAGTATCTCCTTTTCAGTGCTGAAAAGAGTTATGGAGAAGATGATGATGATGGATGAGGCAAGCAATTAAAACAATTCTTTGCTTCCACATTCCCAGGAAAAACAGCAGAAGAAAGAAACAGCAGCTTTGATAAAACCCTTCAGGAAATAGAGCTTTTATGCATAGGTAATAATTCCAGTTCAGGGAGTTCCAGCATCACTTCCAAATGCTTATTTTCCCTCTCTCCCCCTGGTTCCTTCAGGTTTTGGTGCTTTTGAGAACTAGAAGGGAAATGAGTAAATCTGTTTTTCCCTTCTTCAACAACATCTCTTCTGAGTCTTCTAAAATCACATTTCCCCTCTGCTTTTAGTGGAGATTTTTCTACATGGATTTATGCCAACTTATTCTTTCAAAGCAGGTTTTCTCCTGTCTCCAGAAAAGCAGTGGGGAGGGGGATGGGGGGATTTGCAGGCTCTTGAGTAGGAGGTGACTCTGCTTGTTCGCTTCCCAAAGCTGCCAAGGGCTTGCAGGAGACCTGCTCCTGGTGGGGTGGGAGACCCTTCATTGCAACACAGCAGAATAAAGGTGGTACTACCTGAGAGCTCTGTCAGAAAATGCTGAGCAAGGCACTTCAGCCTGGAAAGAGGTAAAAACCACGTTAGGCACGAGCTCAGAGCTCTGCGCAGCCATTAAAGCCCAACTGCTATTAAATAGGTTGGCATATATTAAAGCCACTGCCCCACCCTGCCAAACACTCAGAGCTCCTTTCAACTTCTCAATACCTGATGGTGCTTCCTCTTTCCTGTCCTTTCTTGCAGATAAACCTCTTCCCTCAGTCCTGAGTCCCCCATGGGAAGGGATCCGGCCGGCGAGCTCTGCCCACCTTTGCAGCCAGGCTGCTTGGGATGCTCTCAAACCAGCACATTCAGAGACACACCAGCAAACCAGTTCCTCCTTGCAGTGTGTTCCCCTCTGATCCCCACTCCTTGGGTTATTTTTCACGTATTGCAGCTAGAGGAGAGATCTCCCCACTCTGCAGGCAACGTGTGAGTCACAGCGCGGCAAGGAGCTGCAGAGAGGGACAAGCTGCAGTGCCTGTCCTGCCTGCTTTGTTCCCCCAGTCCTGCCTGGCTGCTGAGGTTAAACTGGTGGGAGGGAGGATGGGAAGACAGGTCTGCATGCCAAGATGCTCCCAGGGCTGTGGGGATCTGGCTGCCAAGACTTGTTTAACCTTTGGCAATCCAGGAGCTGGCTTTGACGCAATGCAGTAAGAGCAGGCAGAGGGAGACACGGGGAGAACTTGCACCCAAGTTGCAGCTGCAAGAAGAGCCACCAGCCTGTCCCTGAGTTTTCTCGTGGTCTTTTGGGCAGATAAAGTCTGGAGCAGGCCAAGATGTCACCACAGGGAGGACAAACACAAGGAGGTGCTGAAGGTTCTCTCGAGGTACAACATGTTCCCCCTCCACTCAGCAACTCAGAACCTGTACAGGTGTAACCTCCAGATTGTAGGGATTTACCTTGTAGGAGCTAAATAATAGAAAATTCATCATTTGCTGCCTTCCAGGGTTAGTTAAGGGCAGTTTAAGAGCAGAGAGGGAAGAATGTGAATGGGAAAAGCACAGACCTTGATGCCTGGAGAAAATTCTAGTGCCTGACTCAGCTCCCTGGCAAATGCAGCCTCTTTGGGTAACACTTCCCAGTTTGTTCCCACCTGGAATTTAGTTCTGGGATGCTGAAAACCTCTCAGTTGTAGCTTTTCCACAAGCCAGTAAACTAAAGAGATCCTATTTTAGAGCCTCCCACCTGCTGAAGTCATGGGGGTCTTGGTAACCCACCTGAAATAAGATGCATGAATCTTCAGAGTAACTTCCTTTAATTATTGTTTTCCTTGCACAGAGTCTTTTTGTGTTGAATAATGAACTTCTGTGTCTGAAAGTAATTAATCCCTTCACTGGTTATGCACAGTCTGAAGAAGTAATTGGTGCAGAACAGACAAATAACATACTATTTATGCATCTCTGCCCTGGAATTATGTGATCTCTTGAAACTGTTTGATTGCAGATGTCAGCAGACAAAAACCTCTTGGCAACATTAAATAGTAATCGGTTCTCAAAGTTTTATAAATATTTAAAATGTGTTAAGCAGTTGCTTATTTCTCTTAGGATTTCATGGAAATATTTGCAGTGGGAAAGAGGCTAAACTCACCAATTTATTTAGTGTTAGAACAGAGGAATTAAAAAAAAACACAGCACAGTTCTGGGTAATAACTAAAGGCTGCAATATGTTTTGGGTGGAAAAGGAGGGAAATGAGGATACTTTTAAATACATGGTGCTCATGGGCAGCCCAGGAATTTGCCTCCCCCCAGGCTGGTAGCCCCCTGGCTTTGCAGGTTGGGGCATTTTAGCAGGTTCTGGACCTTAACTGGAAGCACGTAGGGGGAAAGTTTCACTTGAAACATCCGTGTCTGGTTTAGTTTTTGGTGCTATTGTTCTCTTGAAAAATTATGAGTAGCCCCAAGAGAGAAGCAGCTTCAATGCTCACAAACCACTGGGCATTTCTGTATTTTAGTGTAACTGGGTGCAAACTCTTCCTGACAGTTGGTGAGGGTGACTGGGCCACTTCTTGTCCATATAGTTATTTTAATGTCACATCCACACGTAACTTCCACTAATAAGCTCACTCCAGAGGAGCTGTCATTTAATTTGCTGACTCTGCTGTAATTAAACATCACTCCAGCAGCAAGTTGTTGAGCCCAGATTTCCATTATTGATACCAGCAAGAGAAACATCCTTTGCTTTGCTACACAAAGGCACCCAGATTTCTTTGGCAGCCTTATCTGCTGTGGGGTTTTTTAACAGTTTCTCCAGTGAAGAATATTCAGGACCCTTTCAATTAAAAACTACTTGATGTCCATTTATTGATAGGGTAAAGAATTGGAAGGCACATGCAAATCACAGAGATTTTGATCAGACCTTCAATTAGTCTGTAGACTTCAGGACAGTCCCTGGGATGAATCCAGGCTGCTGGAAGAATTAATTGCATTTCTTGCAATTACAGGAGGTGAGGCAGGAGCAGTGGGCTTTGTCATTATAGAAATTATTAGTATTAATTATATTATATTTATTATATATATTATATTCTTATATTATATTTATTATTAATTTTTATTGTAGAAATAATTGCAATATTAATCCCATAATAAAACATAGTAGTTCCCCAAATTGGAGTCAGGACCCTCCTCTTTTTTCCCTTTGTTTCATCTGCATTTATTTTACATGCAATGGGACTTTAGAGGGCTTTTAAATTGGTTTTCTTCTTAATAAAGCCAACCCAGAAGTGGCAGTAGACACAGGGCAGTGCATAGGAGGCCTTTCTATTAGAAATTAAGCAATGCTTTAATTTGCTGTTACAATTTGACCACAATAACTTGAGCATTACTCAGCCTCAGTTCAGACTGAAGGGGCTCATTTCTACAGCTATTTTAAGTGGAGAAATACCTAAACCACAGGTTAGGAATATTTTTGATACCTGATTCCAGTATCATCTCTGGAACAGTTTCTTTTTTTTCCAGGAATTTATTTGCTCTCAATTTGGGAATTTTGTGTTGAGAGGCAGATTACACACCTGTGGGTCATGCAAGACAGAATTGAGAAGGATTTTTCCCATATAATTAAGGCAGAAGGGGAAAAAGATCATCAGAAGCCACCCCATTTTGATGAACAGTGTCATGGCTGAGGTTCCTTAGTGGGTCTCTGCACACTGAAGTGACAAGCATCATAGAAGACACTGTGACCCTTGTGCCTTGACAGGCTAGTTCACAGGGAAAAAGTCAAGAAATTGCCACATTTTTAGTGTTCTCCTTACATGTTGAGGCTCATGTGCAGGGAAATTATCCTTGCAGCACAACTGCAGGGTTGTGATACTTAAAACTCATGGCTTAGAGACCTTCCTGTTGCTAACAAAGGCAATTGCAGCCCCTCAGGGCACCTGAAGACCAGGCAGCAGAATTCAATGGATGACTCTTTACCCTGGGATGCAGCTCTTAAGTGTTTGCTTAAACCAGCCCAAGTATGTGTGTTATGGGACAAGGGATTTGTTCATCATATCCCATCCAAACCTGTTTCTAAAGGAGGAAAAGAAAAACTTGAGCAACTTCTCAACCTCTATTCCTGCTCAGGGCAAAAGTATCAAACTCCAGAGAAGGATCCAAGCTGGAAAAAAGCCACGAGACAAGTCATGTTCTCAGTATTGACCTTTATTGAGCAAGAACTGCTGTGACTTTTACATCAAACAACAAAAGGTTGCATACTGTGCATGTCAACTAGGTTCTCCCATGAGCAAAAGTCCACCCTAATTGCACCAGTGAGGTAAACATAATTATTTATAAGTAGCTTGTTTGCTTTTTTTTTTAAGGCTAGGAGACTTCTGGTTCTCATGAATATTCTATTACTGTTTTCTGTTTGTAGTTTGTTTTTTTTTGGCTCAGTTGGTTCTTTGCATAATACATCTTAAGTCATTCCTCAGATACATCCCTCCAACAGCTCAGGAAATCCAAAAAAGCTTCCTCTGCACGTTTCATCTCATGCACTATTATGAGTTTATTTTTCTTTGTTTGTTTTATTTTATTTTATTTTATTTTTTTTAAAGATTCCCAAGTTCTGTGGAGGGAGTACATCTTGAGCCTGCATGCATTCCCCCCCCCTCCCCTATATTGCACAAAAAAAGGAAGATACTGTGTGTCTGGAGCCTCCATGAGAGAACCCGTTCTGCTTTGAAGCCGTCACTCACATGCATGTTGCAGCTGTCATATGGCTTAACCTTTTGCACCAACCCAAGCTCTTGAGATTTGGTAACTTAGCTATGATTTTAGTCGCTCTCTTTGATCTCTTTTACCACGGCGTGTGAAGTGACTTTCTCCACTTTCTTGGTGGACACCAGTTTCTCCTCAAAGCTTTCCTCGTGCTCCTCCACCTTCTGAGTGACCGTCACCGACTTGGTGATGTAGGTGGTTGTACTGTCCCCACCTTCACCTGTGATCTTCTCTGCTTTTTTGGTCACTACAATCTTCTCACCCTTATCATCTATTGGGCTCACGTCTAGGCCGTTGGTGACAACTCCCTTGTCTTCCTCCTCAACCTCCTTCTCTTTGGATTCCTCCTTTTTCTCCTCCACCTCACCATTCACTGCAATGTCTTCTTTCCTGGACTCCTTCTCCATCTCGGCGCTGATCTTTGTCACCTTTGTGACCGTGATGGTCTCCTCCACTGCAGCCTTTTCAGCTTTGACTGGGGAGGCTGGCTTCTCTGGAGAACGGGGCTTCTCAGGAGGCACTGGCTTTTCTGGAGAACGAGGTTTTTCTGGGCTGGCTGGTTTTTCAGGAGAACGGGGCTTCTCTGGGCTGGCCAGCTTCTCCAGGCTCACAGCTTTCTCCGGGCTCGCAGGCTTCTCTGGTGTTACAGGCTTCTCTGGGCTTGCTGCCTTGTCTGGAGAGGCTACCTTTGGTGTTGCTGGCTTCTCTGGGGATGGGGCTTTCTCTTCCTCCTTGGCTGGTTTCTCACCACCTTTCTCCACCTTCTGGTCTTTTCCTGCTTCTGCAGCTTTTTCCTTCTGGGCAGCCTTGGCTGGCTCTGCCACGGGGGACTTGGGGGGAGACTTTGAGGGAGGCGTTTTGACCTTCTCTGCCTTTGCTGCTGCCTCTTCAGCTTTCCCCTTGGCCTCAGCTTCTTCCCCCTCTTCCTCAGCCTCTTCCCCTTCTTCCTTTTCCTCTATTTCTTCTTTTTCAGAACCTCCTTCCTCCGCTGCGTCAGACTTGGCAGCTTCTTCTTCCTCCTCTGCTTCTTCTTCCTCCTTCTCTTCCTCAGGTGCAGCTGCTTGTTCTGCAGCAGCCTTCTCTGAAACAGCTTCTTCCTCTACAGCTGCTTCTTCTGCTTTTTCTTCCTCCTGTTCTTCTTGCTGGGCCTTGGCTGCCATTTCTTCTGCAATAACTGCCAGGGCATCTTCCATTTCAGACTTTTCATCCTCCACCTTTGTCTCTTCAATGATTTCTTCTACAAACTTGTGCTGGACCTTCAGCTTTGGTGGCTCAATTTTTGTTTTCTGAATTTTAGTGGATGCTATTGTTACAGATGGTTGTCTGTGTGTAAAGATGGGCCCAGTGATGCTTCCAGAGAAGGCACTGAATCTTGTCTCTTCACCCTCCAGTAGCTTCCTAAGGGAATCAGGAGGGAAAAAAAAAAAAGTGAGCACAGAAACCCAACACAGGGCCAGCTATTAGTGTATTTCCCTCAGCAGGAAGAAACCAGTTTGCATGGGGAATATGCTAGAGCTGCTCAGCATAATCCATCACTCAGCCCCAGTTTGGCTTTCCTTGAATCAGCTCTTTCCCAAAGCTGATACTCAGCAAACAGCTTTTATCTCGGTTTGCATGTGGCAGGTGTAACACCTCCAGCTGATCAAATTCATCCTTAAGGGCAAAGACTTCAGCATAAGTCAGCACAGAGGCTGACAAAACAGTTGACTTCCTAGGATGTGTTATGATTTAGGTCAACTGAGAATTTGGCACAACCAAGTGACAGAAATCAAACCTGGTGGCTGAGACTTTGAAAGCCAATTAGAGCCTGTGTTCTAGGTCATTAGTTGGACCATCCACCTCTTGTGTGGCTGTGAGAACTGGATCCTTCAGATGCTTTTATTCATCTAATTTTGGCAGCAAACAGCTACAGGCCTTAGGGTACACGTGTGTTGGTCTGAGCAACCTCAGGAATTGAAGCAGATCTGGAGATGGTTTTTACTTTGCTTATATTCAAGTGCATCTTCTTCACCTAAGCCTGTGACCCAGAAAAATCAGCAGCTCTCCAAGGAGAGTTCTGAAGTGATGCAAAGGAGGCTAAAAAAACCACCAACCTGCCAGGTGATGGCAATAGCAAGCAATGTTCCTGCTCCAGATTAGAGTTGGTGCCTTTCAGGGAAAGTTGAGCAAGAGAAGAAGTGTTTGTGACAAGCAGATAAGCACTCCCTGCTTGAAACCATGATCAAGCAAGTGCTCTGCCTCTCTCAAGTGATAAAAGAGAATACAAGTGACAGGAAAGGCTTGCTTGGCATGTGCAAGGCAAACAGGAACTAAAAATCAACTTGTATTTCACTGTATCTTCTGTGCACAAGGGCAGGAGGCAGCGGGTGCCCTGGGGCTTGGGGAGCTTTGCCACTGATCCCCAGAAAGCTGATCCCTGAGGAGCTTCAGGTTCTTACTGCAGCCTTCCCTGGACCTGCACGGGTTTTGAAAGGGTTGTAATAACTCAGGGAAGCTCTGCTTGTGCCTGTATTCACTGGGTGCAGATGCTTGTCAGTGGCAAAGCTCCCTGGGGCAGCAGCAGCCGCAGTGCTATTAATATTCCAGCCTCAGCTGCAGTGACCCCACTGTACCTGTATGCAGCAATTTCGATATCCAGGGCCATCTTGACATTGAGGAGGTCCTGGTATTCCCTCAAGTGACGGGCCATTTCCCACTTGGTTCCCCTAAGCTCGTTCTCCAGCTGATGAATCGTGTCCTGCAACGGGAAAAGAAACAACCCCCCCACTCCTGTGACACAGACACGGCGCAGGGCCAGGGAGGGAAAAAGTTCCCCAAAAGACTTCAGGGAAGTTCCCAGCACCCTGAGAAGCAGCTCCTGGAGCAGAGCGGGACCCGGCGGCTCCCCCGACATCACCCCCGGTGTCC